GTGGAGTGCTGTGGTGGATAAGACCGTCAATTTGTGAAAACAAGAACCGTCAAGAGCAAGTACCGTCAACGTCAAGGACAAGTACCGTGTGTAGTAAGGGACCGTTTGAGTCAAAAAACCGTCAAGAGCAAGTACCGTCAAGAGCAAGTACCGTCAAGAGCAATTACCGTCAAGAGCAAGTACCGTCAAGAACAAGTACCGTCAAGGACAAGTACCGTGTGTAATAAGGGACCGTTTGAGTCAAGAGACCGTCAAGAACAAGTCGTCATAAGAGGTGACCGTCAAGTGAAAATTTTCAAAAGACGTAGAGTACACGGAAGTGCTGCCCAAATTTTTGCCTATATAAATCTATTAGACGAAAATCCGAAAATTTACTAAAAAGGTAGAGTACACGGAAGTGCTGCCCAAATTTTTGCCTATATAAATCTATTAGACGAAAATCCGAAAATTTACTAAAAAGGTAGAGTACACGGAAGTGCTGCCCAAATTTTTGTCTATATAAATCTATTAGAAGAAAATCCGAAAAAGTTTATTAAAAGGCAAGTTACATGGAAGTGCTGCCAATTTTTTTCAAAAGACTTAAATACACGGAAGAAGTTAAAGATTGGCGGAAAGTATTGATTTTTTTTTTTGGAATTAATAAATGTATATGTGTATTATTGGAGTTTTTACCTTATTGATTTTATCTTATTGTCTGACGTTACAAGTAGTTAAGATATTTTTGGTGAAATTAATTATTAATTTTTTGTGAATATTTTATAAAATATAGTATTGATAGATTGAGTTACTTGGGAAATAATTTAGGAAAAATTTAAATACGTAAATATTTTAATGAAGAGTTTTAAAATTACAAAGTATGTGGAGTTGCAATATAATGTACTAGGAGCGGTGGTAGTGTTGATGATATGGTTGTGTAGTTTATATTTTGGAAGGAGAATGCGAAGAGAAAGGAGTATTAGGATTCGTGGACAATAGTTGTTGGTAGAAGGGCATAATGGAGAGGATGATAGATTGGGGAGAGTGACGTGGTTACCGGTTCAAGAAATAATGAAGGGTTGGGTCAATAATGAAGAAATTGACCGGTTAAAGAACGAGAGGATAGATGACAGACATTTGGACGTATACCGTGGACGTCAGAACATGCCGAGGCCGTTCAGCAGTGGGGGACAGAGAGGTCGGAATGGTAGATGTTATAAATGTGGGGAGATGGGTCATATTGCGGTGAATTGTAGAGATGTCAAATGTTTTGCGTGTGGGGAGATTAGACATATTTCGACATATTGTCCGGGCAGAGCAGAGAGAACACGTTGCGCGGGTTGTGGAAGATTTGGACATGTGTTAAAAGATTGCCGAGTAGGAAAGGTAGAAACAAGGTCAGGTTTTCCGCAGAGAGGAGAGACTTCGGGGGCTGTGAATATGAGGAGTATGACGGAGATAGCTGGAAAAAGAGGAAAGGATATTGAAGAGGAGATGAGGTGTTTCAAATGCCGAGAAAGGGGACATTGGGCCAGAGATTGTAATAAAAATTGACTATATGATGGGAAGGAGAGTAAAATGATGACCGTGGCGTTAATGCCGAGAAAGGGGACATTGGGCCAGAGATTGTAATAAAGATTGACTAAATGATGGGAAGGAGAGTAAAATGATGACCGTGGCGTTAGGAGGAGGCAAGAAAGAGTTGAGAGTTAAAATGTTGCAGCAGGAGGTTCAAAGGGAGTTAACGTATCTGCCGAGTCCGAGGGTATGGTTCGATATCAACGGGAAGATGGTATCTATGTTATTTGATACCGGAGCAGCTATTTCGGTGATGGGATATGAGGATTTTAGAAGACTTTGGCCGGGTAGTAAAATAATTAGAGACGTTATGCAGGTGAGGCAGTTTGATGGATCGGAGATGGAGATGATGGGAAGAGTGCATATTGGGGATGTAGGGAGAGAAGGATGTAAAATATTGGACTTATGGATAATTAACCGAGACGTTGAGCCGGTGATGGGATGGGATTGGATTACAAATGTGGGGCCGAAGTATGGATTTTGGGGAGTATTTGCGCGATGGGGAGTATTTGTGGAGATCGAAGAAGATATTCGGGAAGACTTGATAAATATGGTCTGAGTGAATGAGGAGGAGAGAATGTCGAGAGGAAATTTGGAATGGATGGAGAGCCGAGATAATATTGAAGTAGACGAGGGAAGATCCGTGTTTTGGGGGAGAGAAGCGAAGGAAATGCGAGGGAAGATATGTTGGGGAGAGGTCTGATTTAAGTAGATGGAGAAATAGGAAATATCCAAGACAGTAGATATGGAGTATTGAGGCCGCTGGTTAGTGAGAGGAGTGAGAATTTTGTAGAACAGGGAGTTGTGGAAAATTTGTGAGAGTGTGGAGAGGGAATAAAAGATGTTCAAAAGGAGGTGGAGAGGTATGGAGAAATATTTGGGGAAGAGTTGGGTTGTCTAAAGGGTTATGAAGTGGAGATTCGGATGAAGGATAGATGTGTGCCGAAATATTGTGCTGGAGGGTATCGTGAGTCCGGTTGAATTCAGCGAATGGGCGACGCCTTTGGTACCCGTAAAGAAGGCCAATGGGAGTTTGAGGTTGTGTGCGGATTTCCGGGTAACGTTAAATCCATGTGTGGTGGAGGTGAAGTATCCGTTACCCAGGATAGAGGAGATATTGGCCAGTTTAAAGGGGAGCAGATATTTTTCGAAAGTGGATTTTTCGAACGCGTATTTGCAATTACGGGTAAAAAAGGAGAGGCAGAGGTTGTTGACTATAACAACGACAAAGGGCTTATTTGCTTTTAGAAGGTTGCCGTTTGGGTTGAGCGTATCGGCACCTATGTTTCAACGGACGATGGCGGTAGTTTTTCAGGGATTGGAGGGAGTGTTTAATTATACCATGATGTAAAAATAACAGGGGTTACTCTAGAGCAGAACAATCAAAGGTTAGAGGTGGATGAGTATTTGCAGCGTGTTATTGGAGTGGTGGAGTCTTTTCAGCATGTATGCAAAAGTGGGAGTCCGAATTTTTTTTTTAGTAATGAAATAAATTAAAAGGATTTTAGGTTGTAGTTACTCTTAGAAGAAGATGATGGAGGAATAATAATTATGGAAATATGTTCGAATAATCGATGGTCAAAGTCCACTTACAACAATAACAGAAGAATTCCTAAGGGTGATTAAAGGGATTGGGGTCTCAAGGATTGATTAAAGGGGGGAGGTGTCGTAATTGGGAGACTTTGATTTGTAAAATTTGATTTTTGGTAGAGTCAGTATTTATTGCATTTGATGAGTCATTTTATTTTTATAATTTTATGTTTTAGTTAAATTGGTGAGTCATTGTTATTTTTATAATTTTATGTTTTAGTTTAATCGCGTTAACATTTTATTTTTAGATTTATAAAAGTTAATTATTGTAAAGTCATTATGATGATGGGGTTTAATTATTTATTTGTGATGATTATTGCTTCCCTATAAAAGGGAAGCGAAAATTGTAAATTATCAATTCATTTCTTTTTTGAATTCATTTTTTTTTGATTTTATTATTAAATAATTATTTTTTTAGTTTATAATTTTCATTTGTAGATTTTATAATAATTTTATAAAATTATTCATTTTTTTGTGTGGGAAATTCAATAAAATTATTATACTCGGAGTTTTGCTTTCTACCCGGACTTGTACGGCACAACGTAATACTGGCCAACAGGGAAAAAGAAATCGCAACCTTGTCCAACGAGATAGAGCCTCTTCCATCAAGCACTAACAGTTATTAAGGAGTTAGAAGAGCCAATTATTTGCTATTACTGAAATATCACAATGGCCTGAAAGAAATATTTCCTCAGAAACAAGAAAATTATTGGATTCAATGCTTATTCCAAATTTTATTTCTCATTAGAATGTATTATTTAATTATACAACTATTTTAATTATTACTTTTCAAAAACATGACATTGATTTGATTAAGAAGATGAGAATAGCGGAGAGCATTTTATCAGAACTCAAGGAAATTAGGGATAATGTTGATGAAGAATTTCATATTTTATATTTTATTGTTGAGTCAAAAGCAGAGATATACGTGTTTAATATTTGTCTGATTATATTTATCTAGCACAGATCGGGCTTTAGCATATCAAAATTAAATTAGCATTAATTAGGCTTATATAAAATCATTTTTTATATACAACATATATTAAATTACCTAGAATAATAATCAATTATCTTATACTATCAAAAATATCTTATTACAATATGGCAATATAAAATAATATTTGTGTGCTTTTTTTAATTATTGATATCATTTATTCCTACACACTAGATTTCAGAGATTTTTCTTTATGCTGCATTTATAGTCAACATGTTTTCTCCAAGCGTTGTGTTATTTAACGCAGCGTTATTACGGCTGATTGAATTTTAAAAACTAGAACAGTTATAAGATATTAATAATGAACTCTTTTAGGGGAATCTAAATATTATTATATTAAAATTTCATTAATGATTATTCTTCTTCAGTTTAGAAATCTTAATATGATGATAAATATGAATAATACTAAAATTAGACAAATCTAAAATAATATAACAAATTATTTTCACCGCTAAGCATTTAGTGAGAGCTACGCTAGGTTTTCCTCATAATCCATCAAACTAGATATTTAATTTAGGTGGGGAAAAAAATGAGGAGTCCTTCACACGTTTATGGACAAGCCGCACATACTTGTGTGAGCATAACAGTCCGAAGACGGTTGTTTAAACGTCTATAGGCGAAAAAAGAGGGTTTCAATATACTTTAATTACTTTAAGTGTGGGATGGGATCTAGTATTGTTAAAGCCCGATTCGGGTCCATTTTAAAACAGCCCGATTAAGATTATAACCAAAATAATATTATGTGTGGAATAAACAAAATTTAAAAAATCTAGCAGCCTGTTAAGGTTTTCGATATTCAACAGATTTACTCAAACATGTGTTACATATCTATCACAAATTTCATACAACATTACAACAAACTTTTAAATAATATCTTATTATTCCGTAACTAGACCTTGAAAAGTTATTGAGCATTCTAATTATCGATGGATAATTTAAATTCACAAACTTTTGATTATACTAATTTACCTAAAATCAGAATCAAAGATTTTATTAAAGATATGAAGATAGCCAAAGAAAAATTACCTCTAGATATAAATGAATTAGTTGACAATACAAGTTTAGAACGAGCTTTAAATATACCCTTTAAAATATTTAAAGAAATACACAAAAAATGTGGGTTAGTTATGATTATTATTTATATCAATTTATCCCCATTTTAGGCCACATGTTTTTAAAAACTCCAAAGATAATATAAATGAACGTAAAATTGATGATACTTACAATTTAACAATTCTTGAGTAAATTATACACTTTATATTTTTAAAATTATAAAATAAGATTTCAGAAGAAGGAAATTGAGAAAAAAAAACTAAATGGATTTAAAAGCAAAACATCTGCTAGGAATCCTCCAACTAAAGATTTTGAATTGGTAAAATTTTATACTAATTCTTATGAAAAATTGTAATAGATTGAATATTTAAAAGAGTTAAAATATCCAGCTCAACAAAAGATTAGACATCCAGAGGCAATTTTAACAATTACTTTCTATCCACCTAATCAGATATATTCACAAAGTCATATCTACCCATGTCAAATTGTAAATTATCATAAGAAATCCATAAAAAATATGCAATTAGGCAACACATGTAGATCAAAAATTTGATGTAATTGGATTAAATTTGCTTACTAGTCTCAAGGATAAGATATATTGTAATTCAGATTATGGATTATGTGAAGATATAAGTGAAGATCCTGAAAAACCTGCATCATATTTTACAAAGGTATATATTTTTAAAATAAATTTATATTGTAATTTTAATAGGATATATTTAAATCTGGTTTTTTTCTGATTGAGAACACATTTTATAATGATATGAGGCAAAACTCCAATGTTGATTATTCTGAGTAAGTTATTATTATAACATAATAGTGCCATATTTTATAAAAAGAATAATAATAAAATGGACATCTGATCCTTCAATAAAATCAGGTCCATATTTATCTCAAACAATGGAATCCACCAAATTTGATGATTTAGAAATTGTATTGGGGAAACCATATATGTACCTACATCAAGGGGACTGCCAACATCTGTTTATCTTTTCTGATCTTAGGTTATTTTAAAACTCATTTTGCTAAAATTATATGATTATTTATATATTTACCAATGAAACTTATTTCTTGCACAAATCACATTTTTTTAAATAATGTTATTAAGGGTTTAATTTTTTAAAATAATAAGTATATACCAGCATATAGCATGGATGGATACATCACAGTATGTTCTGAAATATACATAAACCGGTCATGATTTCTTCATCTCACTCAATATTTATAAATTATACATATTATTGCCTTTATTATGCAAATCACATAGTGACCAATTTTGCATTGCTTGAAGGAGTCATGTTACACAGGATTTTTTGGGATTTGGGTGAAATTTTCTAGCAAACTAATATACACATAACTAACATAGTATACAGATTTTTGCATTCTAATAGCATGGGTCAAAATATGAAAACTGACCTATTTTTATGCTTATAAATTGTCATTCAATTAAAGATTTACTAAAAAAAGAACAGAATTATAAATAATGATTCTTAAATCAAAATAAAGGGCATAAATTCTATTTTTAAAAAAATATTTTTTTATTTTTTTTTAATATGGCGGTCCATTTAACCATTCTAAAGTTTAAAATATCCACAATCCTAATTTTATGAAATTTTAAGCAAATATCACTAAGACCAATCTACATCTTTATAAAACTATGAGCCAAGTTTTTGTCTTGATAGTAAAAATCAGTGTTATGCTACTTTTAAAAGTGGCGCTCAAAAATTAGCACGCTATTATCTACTTTTTACACTACTTAAGAATCTTTTTAAATATTCTTTTACGTAATCTCTATTTCCACGGAAAAAAATATTGGTATAAAAATTTGATTATAATTTCAAATATGTATATAATTTATTTATTTTTATTGCTTTTCAATAATAATAACATTCTATACTGTCATCCCCAAGTCTAAGGACGATCAGAAAGTATAAACTTTGCCGTACTAAATAATCATCAACAATCAGCGGGCAATGCAGTATTAAATTTGATACACATATTTTCTATATGAAAAAAATTATTAATAATATTTGAGTTTTTAGTTTTAAAAATGTGTAGAGGATTTTCAATTAGTATTATTATTTATTTCATAGCGTTTTTGATCTGGCTTAGAGTATCCTGGTTTGATATTTTATTTTTTAGCGTTACAATTAGCCTATCAAATTGCCCTTTGGTTTCTGTCAAATTAATATATGAGCAATTCAACATGAAACTAGAGTAAACAATAGCAGCTATGTTTAATATCCAGATAATAATTTATAAAATATAATCATTAAATAGATGAAATTATTTAATGTAATTTTAATTTATAAAATTTTCTTAAATAATATCCTTATGGCCAGTTGAAACATACCATGTTTGGACAGGGCCAGAAAATCAATTTTCACATAAACTCCTAGATCAAAATCTATTATAGATATAGCTTTGATTCAATTTTTATTTTAAAGATTAAGGATTGGGTTACATATTGATATTAAATTTATTTGATATATTACCTTTAAATGGTTTCTCAAGTTAGAGCTTAGTCTTGTTTGATGATGAAACCTTCTGGCACATCTTACAATGAAATTTATGTTAATTTTTTTTTTGTTGCCGAGATTAGAATATTTTGCGAATTCAGAAAAAAGAAATTTCATGTTATCATTATAAACTGTACCAAAATTATCTTCAATATCAATCTCTAGTGTAGACATTTTAAAATTTAATTATTTTGAAAACTAGATTTATAATGTATTTTTAAATATATATTTCAAGATTAAATGAAATAAAAAGATTACGATTTTAGAATTAATGATAAAATTATAAATATATTTTAATAATTTTTATGTATATTTATTATATAAAATGATTTATAATTTCCAATATATTTTTTGTGTTCGGAATTGTCATTTGGGGCGGGCGTATGGCAAATTGACACTTGAAAATGAGAATATTTCAGGAATGCACAGAGAAATATTTAGCAGATTTTGTGTTTCCATATATCTCAGGGAATGTGTCTACTAGTGATGCAAAATCACTTCATTTGAACAGATTTTTAAAAACGGCTAAATCAATATTATAGCCAAAAAAATATTCCTAAGCCTCAATATTTCTCAGAGTTAGCCGTTTTTAAAAATCCGCTCAATTGGAGCGATTTTCATAACTAATGTCAACTACAAGGAGAAAAAATAAATTGTTTAATCATTTTATGATTTTTTAATTAAAATTATTTATTCAACATACAAGGTAAATAAATTATAGGTAAAAAATCAAATAGATTTTTAAAAAATAGATCGAACCATATTTTATTAATTTTAAAAAGTCTGGTTTCTGAAATCACCTAGCAGGCACTCTTTGAATTTCAGGATTAGTTTTCTTTCAATATAAAAAAAATGCTTACACCATAGTCTTCATTTAATACATAAACTTTATGGGGTAGGTATGCTTTAAATTGTCCTCATCTAAACTGGAATATAATTAAGCATTGGATTCCACTATTAGATGTTTAATTTAATATATATTATATACTAGTTTTAGATTCTTAAAAAATGACAAAAGATTTATAAAAAATAATAATATTGTTTTAATGAACTGAATTGTTAAATCGTGCTATATAAACTTTTATTTCATAGGTTATAAAGAGGTTTAAAAAATGGGAAGAGGAAATTTATATGCTGAGAAATGAAAAAGAAAGCAGCTGAATTTATTAATTCTTTTATGACACTTGAAATGTAAGATAATCTCGATCAAGCCAAGATTTCGTTGGAAGAACGTTTTCAGTAGTATAAATTTCAAGGATCATTTTGGGCTTTTATTCATACCTGCATTGGTAAATGGAGCTAAAGTAATATTGTAATCAATTAAATATTTTTAATCGACCAAGATTCTTTGGAGAAGCGATATTAATGTACCAGATCGATTAACTGAATAAAAAATTAGAAAAAATATATTGTGTAAGCAGAATATAAAAAAGTCCATTAGAAATTTTGCGCTATATTTACACTAATAAGCTAAATGAAGCCAGGCCAAATATATACATTGTTTTGAAGATTATTTTAACTATTCCAATTACCGTCGCATCGGCCGGCAGCTTCTCAAAGCTTAAACTAATTAAGGGTTACTTATGATCTTGTATGGCGCAAGACCGCCTCTTATACATATCCCTAATTTCAATCAAAAATGACATTGCTTCGTCGTTAGATTGTACGGACATAAAATCTTATAAGGCGAGGAGGATAATTTTTTAGTTTTTAATTATTATATGATAGTAATTATATACACGGTATATATACTATATTAATGTTTTTTAATACGATACTCATATTCATGATTCAAATTTAATAAATTATATTGGTTTTTTAAAGGGCCGCCAAATTTGTTTTTGCCCTTGGCTGCCATAAGTCTCGGCATGGCGCTGCTTTATTGTATAGATTATATGTATTATTTAGTTTTATAAAAATATCAAAATAAATAAAGGTTAATCAATAGATTCGATCCTCACAACGAACTATTATACCCTATTCGTACCTTTATCGTTTCCGAGAAATTGAAGTACTGTTATGTTTGCGGCCTCAACCCAACAAAGTAAGAAATTCTATAAATATTTAAAAATATTCAAAATTATTGTTTTAAATTGAAAAAAGATATTTTTTACCGAGAAGAATCACTAAGAATGATTAAATTAAGCAATATACATTTTTAGCCTATATAATCATGGCTATCATCATATGCATTTGGTGATGGAGAGAAAAAAGAGCTAAACCGATTTTAAATTTGAGATTGATAAGGTTTAGGCCTCGCTTTTAGTAACAGTGTATCTGTATAATTTAAAACTGTTTTTGAACGCAACGCGATATCGCGCAATTTTCCTGGTACTAACCAAGCTTAATAAAGGATAAAATATGTTTATATTTAATGAACTCCATTCACTTACAAGAATATTTACCCATTAACCCATTTATAAAACAAATATCTTTCTTTTCTAATATTATATTTGAAAATTTGAAATATTTTAAATAGTAATTTAATTGAGATCCTATTTTTTTAAACAAATAAATGTACTGCTAAACCCTCAAAGGGCACTTCTTCACGAATTAGATTAATTTTGAATGACTATAAAATTCAACAACAAAAATATATAAATAAAATAAAAATGAAGAACTTTGTTGTTGATCTGAATTAAAAACTCGGCTAAATTATTTTTAAAGTAATGTTTTGTCTTACCGTTACTCAAAAATATACTTGTTACCTTTTGAACCTAGGAAAAAGTGACGCTATTAGTAATGACGTTACTTTTATCACATTACAGCACTAATATTAACATATTTAATTGTTTTTTTATTAAGATATATAACATTCAATGACCCACATGTTCCCGATGAGCCTTCATTGTTTTGTAAAGAATGTTACATGTGTCTGCATTACAATAACGAAAGAAAAAAAGTCGGAAACTTTAAAGCTTATCATTACAAGGATAGAAATACTACTTTGAACACTAGGCGATTCAGTACTTTTCTCAAATAGCGATTCAAACCAGTTTTAAATTAATTAATTTTATATTATCCTTTTTTATTTGTAAATAATTATACATAATAATTTGTGATATTTTTTTGTTTAAGAAGATACCTTTACATGCATGCTAATTGATCATATATTTATAGAGATTTTATTGATGAATTTAAATAAATTGTTTTGAGTTATAAATACGAAATCCCATTCTAAATTGAAAAAAATATAATAATACACTAAAGAATTTTTTATCTCTAACGGTTAAATATCGATTACAAAAAAAGTAAATTATTTGGTTTTCCACTCTTACATAAGAACTGCTTATTATACCAATTTCTAGCTAAATTAAATTGGATACGAGTTTTCTCTCCCAATTGTCAAATGTATGTGTCCCAAGATACATTCCTAAAATTAGTAACTAATTTATGTCAAATTGGCTTGAAAATTCATGGCTAATTTCTTTGAGCTAGGACAAGGAAAAAATTCACTATATTTAAACCAAAATTAAATAATATAATCCTGCCAGCTCTTATAAAAAGCAAATGTGTTGAGATTTTAACATGGGTTAGGAACCAGAATCTTCGCGGCACCTCTTTTCTCACCTTACCTTTAGAGGTCTCAGGGGTCTGAATATTCTATTTTTAGTTTATCTTATCTTTAATCTTCTGACTATTAAGTATCAATTATGCCTATATTTTTTTGTGCAGTTTTTCTTGTTTTTTTCATTCAGAGTTCTAGACTCGACAAAAATTTTACCGGAATTTATGGGTTCAACTTCGGCAATTTTTTGAAAAATAAACATTGAGTTTAGTACATGTCCAGGTTCGAATTTTTCTTTGAATAATGGAGTTCGTTTCAGGCCATCCATAGAGGCCGAACCAGGGTTCGGTGGTTCGATATTAATAGAATTTATTAGTAAGTTATTTAAGCTAGTGATCGAATAGAATGAGGTATGTAAGTTTGTTTTGTGAAAATAATTAAGTGTAAATAAAGCTTTTAATATTTTTATTATTTTCTAAAAATTTCATTGGCAAACAAATTTTGAAAAACGAGAAACAAGTAGGGACTACCGTCTTAAGTATTTGGAGAAAATAAAGTTTGGTAACCGTATTTTTTTTATATTTCTGTTCTGACGAAATCAATCATAAAATGACTAAAATGAATCCGGTCAAAAATCGGATTCGGTTTTATAAACCAAAATATTTTCAGATACTGGTTTGGGGAAAAAGCTAGGAACTATTTTTTATTACCCATCCATTCAAAAAATTATTACATAATATCTCCTTATGTATTTCGTAAATGACTATACCACCCATATATTTTCCCCACTCCAAAACATTATATTGGTTTTCATTATTTATTATCAACTAAAATAAAAAAATTTGATTTCTCTCATTTTGGCAATTTTTATTGATAATAAAAGGTAAAAAATAAATATTCTTTTGAAAATAATAGGATCTAAATAAAGGCTAATAAAAAATGTACTAGTTGGAGAAGAAAATGCACTATAACAATCGATAGTGATGACAGAATTTTAAAATTTTTACTATATTCAATGGCGCCCTCCATATACGACTCATCAAAATGTTCTGTAAAATGGACATTATTGACCCTAATAATTTAAAAATATTTACAACCCCCATAGAAAATTTATTTTATTTAAAGTATAGAATGAATTTCAGGGAGTGGTAATAAATGTCTCCAATTTTAGCAGGTTTTGAGCGAACTTTAAAAGGTCTTAGCCGAATTTTTTAAACGAAAACTATCACCTTAGCCTCGATCAAGGTTTAAACTTAATGGATACTCAATCTTAAAAATAAACTCAAGGATAAAAAAATTTTTCAACTGTTAATAATTGAGTTGATATAACTGCTTTACAGGCAAGAAATAGTTCAATTTTAACAAACTCTATAAATGTTTAGATAGGAATTTGAAATTTTCAAAAGGTAGGTTATTATTTGTTAGGATAATCATTTTACTTGAATGAAATAATAAATTGAAATATTTTTTATTTGGTTTTTAGGTGTCCTTTTACCATTGAACCATTTTTTTAAAATATATTGACTGATATTTAAAAAAATTAGGAACATGTTGAATTAAAAATAATTTCGATTATTTGGAAATTAATACAAATAATTTCTAATTCTCAAGAAATAATAAATTTGAGTATTTAATATTTAGGAATAATTTTGAATAAATAATTTGACCGGAAAATTAGGACGAGGAACTATTTGATGAATAATTTTTATCAATATTTATTGTATTCAATTCAAATTTTTGACTTCAAATAATTGTGTTAAAATCAAATCGCATTACGACGAATAATTCATTTTAAGCCTATTTTTTTAACAAAACTTATTACATATCAAAAATGAAACTTAAATTTATATATATATTTTGGCTACAAAATAAATATACAATGATGAAACAAAAATACCAGAGTAAATTATATTAAAGTATATAGAATTATAAATTAATTTCATTTATTAAAATTTTTAAATTTGCCGCCAATTTAATAGGCGGCGGCGAATTCGGCGCACTGAACAGCCGAAAAATTTAACCGTCGCCTCCAATTTATATCTCGACTCAGAAGTCAAATATTTATAAATATTCATAATTAATTTTTTTCAAAGAAAGGACACTTAAATATTTTTTTCTGGCACTTGTAGTATTAATTTTTATTTATCGTGATAGTGAAGTCATTTCCTAAAATCAAAACTAATAATTATAAATAGTAGGATTATGCAATCAGAACTAGAGACCTTTATGGGCCTAGATTTTAGGACCAAGCCCGGCCCAGGCCCATCGTAATATTTAAAAAAATTCCCAAGCCCGCTATAATATTTAAAAAATTTCCCAAGCCCGGCCCAAGCCCATAAAATTATTTAATAGAAATATAATATTTTATAGTAATAATATATATATATAATATTAATAAATGATATAAACAAAATTTTAATTTATATTTTCAAATTTTATGGTGTATATATATATATTCATAACCTTTATAGTTTATGAAATTATGTCCTTTTTGAGTTTTCTAATTAAAATTTTATTTTCAAATATTATAAAAAGTTTACTTGAATATCTATTTGTCTACGTCTAACAATTGTTTTTAAATTTTCTGCTACTGTTGGGATTTTTGAATTTGACGCTAACTTGGGGAAATATATGTTATATCGAAAATGTTGGCCATCTTTGGGAATATTCCCTGATTTTCGCTGTTTCGTGCCCAGGCCGTTGTGTTAAGTTAAGAAAAATTATACCAATTTCCGATTTAAAAAATATATACTCTCCCAAGGTGTATAGAAAATTTGATAAATAACACTAATAAAATCAAAATGATTTGTTATATTTGTCCTATTAAATATCCTTAAAATAAGCTAAATTTGAATTTAAAAATTTAGGCCCAAGCCCTATTGCAAAAATTTCCAACGAACCCAAGTGGGCCGGGCTTGGGTCGTGGGCCGGCCCGGCCTATGAAGGTCTCTAATCAGAACAAGAGGCAATAATAGGCCTCTTCTATATCTTATGAGCACCTATTTTCCTTAAGCACGAATATGGTTACCAAAAACACTCGTCTTTGAAAGAAGAAACAATTAGATACATTTTTTTCTATAAATTTATTTTAAAATAGTCATTTTATTATTTTTTTAATTTAAAACAATTTCATTTTATAAAATAAGATACCATATAAACTATATCAAAATAAAAAATATGATAATAGGAAAAAAAAAACCCGGATTTTTTTTTCATATTTATAGAATTTGTCACAAGAAACAATTCTCAAATCCAAACACATCGAATTGAGCCTCGATTTCCTCCAGAAACTTGGAACGTAAATCATAGCACTCTATCCGACGAAGAACGCACAAATAATCAATGCGGTTGGAATCATCTTTTTTTAATTTGGTTGGGAATAAACACCCATCATCTGGGTATTGATTAAAAAAATGGAATGCGAGGTGGCTACGGATGAAACCAAACTTGAGTGTAGATAGTTGGACACCAAAAAAATCGCAGAGATATAATACCCAGATTCGGTTAAAGAAACTTTGCAAGGAATACCGTGATGGGGTGTGAAGCCTTCCAGATTTTATAAGAGCGATTTCCTTCAATATTCGATATCAATCAATATAAATTATCATTCTAAATTATTAAATTTGTATATACATAATCTTTATTTAGCAATAAAATATATATATTTTATTACAAAATTTTGTCATATTTTTAGTCTATTTAATATCGTAATTAAGAATGTATATTTATTACTATAGCAAATAATATTTACGAAAATAAGAAATACATGGGTTATTTTACTGGGGTATTTTTTCCCAGTACCAATTTAAACTTCAGCATTTTATCTTGTTTAAGCATTTTTTATGGAGGGTATATGAGTAATCTTTAAATAATGAATTAGGGCCTAAAGAAATTTAGCTTATTAATATATTAGATTTTTATAATATTTTTTTCTAAAATACTAATTTGTCTATACATTATAAATATGAGTATTATCCATTAAAATCCAAATAAAAATATATTTATTATCCATTATAATCCAAATATAAATATATCTATATTATTAGGTCCTAAGTAAATTCTGTAAATATGAGGAAAAAAAATCCAGGGGTTTTTTTTCTTGGGGGTGTTTTTTTCTGTGGGTATATTTTCCAGGGGTTTAATTTCCGGGGATTTTTTTTCCGGGATTCAAAAAATATATATATAAAGAAAGAAATGAGAATATATTTAAAAAATAAATAAGAATATATTTAAAAGTATTATGTTAATTCTTAATATATTTTTTTAAATTTAATGAAAATAAAAAATATGTTTTTAAAAAAAATTAGAAGGTGCTCTAGATATATAGTGTGACCAATATATTTCAATTGAAATTCGTTACCGTATAGGCCTAAAACCCTGAGGATCACCCGAGATTTAGCACATTTCTTGACCGATTTCTTTGAAGAAATCACGGGGTTTGGATCCGAAAGCACCAATTGTGTAGAAAGCAATGGAGATTAAAATGTTCTTATGAATGTTACTATATTTATTATTTTTTATAATTTCCGCTCTAACCAAAGAATTGAAGCTAAAAGGTGAATGATCAACGCATGTTTTCCCAGGCTAGCGGAATTCCGTTGCTCCATG